ATAGACGCATATACATGCAATAAGAGCCCACATCCTTATCGGGTTTTCCTCCAACAGAAATGCATTTGGGCATTGTTTCTGCACGATACCAATCAACATTGAGATCGAATCATCGAAGCCTTCGCGACGAGGAATCCGCCCGCATGCTTAAGCATCAAACTAATTAGCAATCAAGGTGGGAGCAAATGAAATTGTTCTCACTGCTGCTTCATGAAATTGCAAGAGAAAAAAAAAACCGAAGGGAAATGAATCATAACTAGGGGTATTTATATTTGATTGAAGGAGTGAGAACTATACACTGACCTAAGCAAATCAATGGACGGAAGCTCAAAATAAGGGACTATTTTAAGTATGGCGCTGGCATATATCACTGCTGCTATAATTGTCAGAGCCCAGAGGCTCATAGAGCTTACCTCGAATGGGAATTGCATTTCAACGGCATCAAGTAATTTTGAGACGAGAAACGCAACAGCGACGTGGAGGCCGACAAACCTATATATAAGAGCAACAAGTCAATAATGAGATCGGTGTTTCTAAGGTACCGCTTCAAATACAAAGTAACTAAAAGCAAAACTATACCTTTGAAAGGAAAACATATTTAGTACGTAGTTATAACTTTCCAAAGTAATATTGGTCAAGACAATGAACTGAACTATATTTTTCTTCTATAGAAGACTTCAAGAGAATTAAATAGAGGATCGAACCACCTTGACATGATTTTTTTAGAATTAATTATAAATATAGTAATCCACGAATCAAAATTTTATATTATGATATTTTTATTCTTTAAGGCTCTTCATTGAATCAAGTGGTTTTCAAATTTTCTCCAATGCTCGTATATTATATATAGTAGTAAGACATGGAAGGAGGTCCTATCCAATTTTCAAAAAATGTGAGGGATGGTTGATTTGATTATTAAACAAGGTTTCATAAATGCTAAAGATATGAAATCGTTCGCTGTATGGAAGGAAAACAAAACTACAATATTTTCCCCCTTTATACTATATTGGTCAATATGATGAACTCATTATATTTTTCCTCTTTTGAGGATCTAAAGAGTTTTAAATAGAGAACTGAACCACTTTGATATATATGACATTTTGCAATTAATTATGAATTATCAAGTTCACTGCAAATAATAGAATTTCCAAAAGAATAGCAATCCATAAATCAAATTTGTACATTATGGTATTTTTTATTCTTTAAGGTGTTCTATTGAATCAAGTGGTTTTCAAGCTATCCAATGCTCGAGTGAGAGAGAGAGAGAGAGAGATAAGGTAGGAGGTACTGTCTAATTCTCAAAAAATGTGAGGGTTAGTTGATTTCAAAACTAAACAAGCTAGGTTTCGGATTTGCTATGGATTTCAACTCATGTGTTGGAGAGAAGAAGAACAAAACCTACACAATTAATCATGGAGCTGCCAAGAGGAGATGCATAAATTTGGGCTAATTACTTGAGATGATTTAATGATGTCAATGATGTAAGTATGCATGCTTATATGGAAATGGATTAGGATAAATTTCCATCATTAAGGTTCAATCTTTTGGTTGAGTATAAACAGCACAGATAAGTCGATCTAACAAAAAAGTTTTGCGAGGAGTTAAAGTGCATCTTAACGTTTTAAATGAGTCCAATGTATATAATCAAATTTGGAAGTGTGAGCTAAAGTTATAGTTTTCAAAAGTGGGAACTAAGTCTGAAAATTGCAATTTTACCAAACGAATAGCGTTTTTTCCCATTTCTTTTCTATAAAACTGGTCATGATAATGAATTGAACTATAACTTGTCCATATAGGGGATCTAAAGAGTTTTAAAAAGAGGCGTGAACCACATGATATGGTTTTGCTGGAATTAATATTGAATTTCCCAAGGTTAAGGAGTTGCTAAAGACATGAAATCATGTATTTTGTGGGAGGAAAAATTAACCTACAACATTTTCACTATATTTCCCTATTTTTAACCAAGGGGAGACGTATAGGTTCGGGCTGATGATTTGATGATGTGGATGATTTAAGGGTTAGTATGCATGCGTATATTGAAACGGAGGATAAAATCCTATCATCAGGGGTCAATCTTTTGGTCAATTGAACCTAGAATAAATGAGTAAATGTGATCATGATATTATATATGGTATTAAAGGATATCCTAAGGTTTAAAGATTAGTGCAGGATAAAGGAATTTGGACGTGTGAGCTAAAAGTTAGATTTTTTAAAGTTGGCAAAGAAAATCTGAAAATTACAGTTATGGTTTGATGGTTTGATGAGATTTGACGATGTGAGTGATGCAAAAGTTAATATGATGAAGCATATAAGATCTGACGAGAGAAGAAGATAGAATTGAGCGAAATTAGCAACCTGAGTAGAAGTGAGAGAAGATTAATAGAGGAGTAAAGCAAGGATATATATACGTAAAGTGAAGCAGACTGACCTCAAGGCGCTCCGAAGAGAAGTAGAGATTGATGCAGAAGAAGGCATTTCTGAGATTTAATTTGATGCTGGGCGAAGGAGGGAGCTGGCAGCTGCTTTGGGAGGTAGGATATATGAGCGATGGCTGGCCACAGTGAAGGCGTACCGTAACTAGCTAGGGTTAAGTAAGTTGAAGCCGTACTTCGAACCAACGTTATAACAGATTTGTGTATTTTCTGAGAATTTATTCTGCAATTCACACCTTATTACAATTAATTTCTTGCAAATTTATTTTGATATCAGAACGATGTAATTATTTGTAGTATGAAAAATTCGGTTTCGATGTTAGAAAAATCAAGGTTAAAAAATATTTAAACCAGTTAAATCCGGTGTGAAGTCTATAAAATTAAAATTAAATGTTTAATCGGTTTGGAAAATGCATGAATAACAAAATGTTGTTTTACCAAAACAAAATATTTAATACATATACTGAAAGAATATTTAACCTGCACAATCAGACCAGCTAGCCAGCTTCCTTACGTAAGTCATAAAGAATGGATAAAAGGAACATGGGTCAAATTTTTAACGCTTTTAACTTGTTCAATTTTCTCGAATAAGGATTTTCGAATTATAACTATGGGTGTGTTTGGATGAAACCAAACCGTGGTTTGGAAAAGTGATTCTGGAGAATAGATTCTGGAAAGAATAGATTTTATGAAAAAGTGATTTTGAGAAGTGAGAGTGTTTGGATAGTTGTTATCAAAAGCACTTTTTATATATACAAATTACTAAAAAAAAGACATAAGTTAATATGATAATTACAGAAAAAATAGATTTTATGATATATTTTAATTTGAAGGAATAAAATTGTTAATAATATATTTTTTATTAACATAATTAATAATATATAAAATAATATAATTAATAAATAATTAATATGTATATATATTTATAAAATATAAGATTAAATATGTTTATAAAAAAAATAACAAGATACATATCCTATAAGTTCTCACACTCTCCTTTTTTTCTTCAAAAGCAAAATTTTTTTGTTTTTTTTCAAAACCACGGTTTTGGCCCAAAACCACGGTTTGTGCAAATTGGGTGGGTGTTTGGGTGACTTATCACCCAAACCATGGTTTGGGGTGTCACCCAAACGATGCCTATATCATTTTCAATACTAAAAATTAATCTTACCTTGACATTATTAACCTCAAACTTAGAGTACCTCTCTTAATCCAAAAAATTTTATCTGTTGTGTCATACGTGACTCTGATGCACAATTTTTACACTTACAAATGGGAAAAATACATATAGTTAAATGCACTAACTAGCTATCCTATCACCTAAATTAAATATATCCTGAAAACATGTACGAACCTTCTTTAAAACTGAAATTTATATTACCCAAACATCCCTTATATATTTGATATTTCATTTTTGTCCATTCAACTAATAGTTAACTATTAAGTTTGGCTCTTAATTTTTTATTTTAATTAAAAAACCCTTCTGTAGCATAAAAGTATTTAAGAAATTATATCTGCCAAAAATGTTGTTTTCTACAATAAAAAAGGATCCTATTACATATATTTTTAAAATTTCTAATATGTTGCAAGACTTATTAATTTTGATTATACTATGAAATGTAATAATTTTAATTTTTTGTCACATTTATTATTGACACTTATTTAATTAGATTCTTTCAAATGGCTAAAAATATAGTTCAATTGATAATTTTTATTCATTATTTAGTATAAGTCATTTAAGTTTGAAAAACTGTATAAGCCATTTTAATTTATTATTTAAAAATTTTTTAAAAACATTTTCTCTATAAACATTTTAAACACATTTAATCAATTATATATTTATTAACAAAATTATTCAAATTCTCAATCAAGATTTTCCATGTCTACATTAACTAAACTACTTAGGCTTCTATCCCAATGCGATAAAAATATTAGAGGCCATTAACATTGGCTTAACAACTAGTATAGAAAGTATTGTACTTTCTACACCGATGTTCAGCAACCAATGTAAAACCTCTGTGCCCTGTTTTTTTTGGGAAAAAAAAAAGTTGTTCTCTTTCTTCCTACTCCGTGTTATAGAAAAAACGTAATTAATATATGATGCGTGGTTCAAGGACTGGTACAACACCTTTCATGCATTATATACCATGCACCATAGTGTTTAATAGTTTCAAAAGCACTTATCATGGGTTATTGACTTGTTTTATAATAACTGCTCATGTCAGGGAAGAAACAAAAATAATCTTTTTATAACAAAAATAAATAAACTTTCTCCAGATCACAATTGTAAGTTGAAATGATGATATGGTGATCCCAAATGAGTTCAGCATAAATCATTTCAACTCAAACTTATAATACAATGCCACAAACAATCCTGAAATTAGTGCTTTTCTTTCCATTTGCATTATTCTTTCTTGCAATATGCCTTGGTTTGAATGCAATGGGAAGATATTTGATTTTGGTGAACTTCTTTTAATGAACGCCTTTTAGAGTGCAAGTAGTAGTATCTCCTTAATAGTCATTTCAAATTAAAAAAAAATATTTATCCCAGATGATCATTAACAAGATACTAAATATTACTCGCACCTTTAAAATATCCTTGAAAAGCGAATGGCTTGTGATGATGAGTAGTTCAGAGATTGGTACACACATAGAGCACCATCCGCAGATGATCCATGAATAGCAAACAGTTCAAGTGAAGTGTCCAAACCCAATAATATGTCAACTTGATATGTCATTCTTATTGAGTTTATTAAATCATTCACTTGTACCATTTGCTAATCATAATCATGCTGCAACAATCACCTTATATAGACTATTGGTTTTTCTATAACAAATTAAACCAAAACGTGTGTTTGTGTGTGCGTGGAGAACCAAACCACATATCAACATATAGAAACCTAGAGGAATCAGAGAAACAAACCATAGATATATACACAAGTCACCATCTTCGACCTCCCAATGGATGAAGCTGCTGAATACACACACACACCCACACACACATCTTTATTTATTTATATGCAAATGCCGAAGCTTGATTCTTCAAATGCTCTAGCAGTTTGTCTACTCAAGGCGACAAAACTTGTATACCTGCGTACGCTAGAACGTGTGAAGAATAAGGTAAAGTAAGACGCTAACCCCCTCTTATGCTCCGTGTTCCTGTTGACACACTAATATATACAATCTCAATAAAAACATAGAAGTAACACACCGACGCACACGCAAAATGGTTTATATATATTTATATCAATTGAGAGGCAAACTATAGATCAATATCATATATACCTAGATCGACCAAAGCCACAAACCACACAACACGTAGTGAAATAATGAGGAAGAAAGCTGAAGTTAGTTGAAAGAAGCACAAAACCAAACGAAGTCACGCCACGAACCAGAGCCACAATGAGTTGCGACAGAGTTGATCGAGCAATAATTGTGAAGCAGAAGGCAGTTGGCCAGTGAAGTAGAAATGCAGAAGATTTTTAAGGCAGAGGGAGAGATTTTTCAAGCGATATGGTAATGACGCAAAGAAGCATGACTTTAAAGTCGTTTCAAATTACTTTTTACCCCCCTTGTGATTAAACCTGCTGTAGAAAGTTATTAATTTTAAACAAATTAAAGCTATTTACACCAATTGTTGTTTTGAACTGAAGTAAAAAGTGTTTGCACTAGTCGCTCAAGAAATGGGGGGAGAAAGTCAAAAATCACATGCCTTATTTAAATGTTACTGGTCACAATTTTTTTCTTCGTCTCCGCAATTTGTGTAAAAGGCCTGCTTTGAAAAATGGTATTTTTTGCTAGTGAATGGATAACTGAACATCATATAATCTACACACACACGTATATATTTGTGTACGGGTGCGTGTATACGTATTTTTCTTTGTCCAATTATATCAATCTCTTTTGCTTTTAATGTTGGGCTGCACGACTGGCCACCAAATAATATACCCGTGGATAGGCTTGATAGATTGAGCATTGAAGAGCGAACTTAAAACTAAAGAGATGAACGTGAATATCGAAGAGAGCATAAACAGATCTAATTAAATATGGAATACTTAAGCCAGAGGTGATTATAACACTTTTGTAATAACTGTCACACTAGATTTGCCTTGATGCTTCATTGATTGAGGGAACCTACAACGTACAACTTGTAATGTTTGCTTTTCTATTGATTTATTATTTGTACTCTTTATTTTTTAATTTGAAATCCCTTCGCAATTATTTTCTGGTTTGCGATAGAAAAGTTATTGCCCCCCGTACGTTTGACCTTTACAATACTGTGGAAGATTTTTATTAGTACCTCTGATCCTTAATAAAAGGGGAAAATAGCAAACAAAGATCCCTTAATATGTGAAATTAAAATTTGGGATCCTTAATTTGGAAAATGGAAAATAAAGACCTAGTTTCATATTGTAAATATGAGGGTGAAATGTCTGAAATACTTCTCGACCACGTGACAAGTTGATTATGAGGAATGACAAGTTCACTTTAGCGAATAACAATTTCAGTAAACTGAATTACAATTTGACTGAAGGTATGTTAAATGACAAGTTAATTATAGAAAATGACAAGTTCGCTTTAGTAGATGACAACTTGAGTAAATTAAATCACAACTTGGCTAAGGGGCATTTTAGACACTTTACCAAGATTTCATATTTGCAATATGGGACTGAGTCTTTATTTGCCATTTTCCAAATTTAGGGTCCCAAATCACAATTTCACATATTGGGGGTCTTTATTTGCCATTTTTCCTAATGTAAGACTAATTTAGAGAAATTGAAGAATTTACTAAATTACTTTAAAATATTTATCCATATGACTTTTCTCTAAGTTAATTTGTCTTATAAATTAATATATAATCTAATGATTCATATAAGTATTTTAGAGAGATCATAAAACATGTACGATAATTAAGTAATTTAATAATTTTTTAAAATTTCTTCAAATTTGTCAACTAATCTTATAATAAAGATCAGGGGTAGTATTATGATAATTAACACTTGCGAAGCCGATCAAAAGAACATATTTGGTTTCTATAGAAAGGGAGTAAATTCATTAATTATAAAATAACTAAGTGCATCATAAATTTATAATCTTGTTTCAAATAAGTGCGTATGAAAGTTAAAATATTGGATATAGGTGTAATTTTAACCTTGATCTTATTTTTCAAGTGTAATTTTACCTCTTATCTTTTTAGTGATGTAATTTTAACTTTGATCTTATTTTTCAGATGTAATTTTATCCTTGATTTTTTTATGCAATTTTATCCTTGATTTTTTGTCGAGGTAAAATTGAATCCAAAATATTAAGATGAAATTACACCCCGAAAACAAATACGGGTTAAATTGTACAATAAGATGAGGGTTAAAATTACACTTTTACCCTTAAATGCTTTTACCTTGAGAAAAAAGCATCAATGTCAAAGTCTTAGACTAATTCATAACTTCATCGTGGTTTTCCGAAGGACTATCCGGTGTTTTGGCCCAAGCTGGCATGTCATCTAACGTTAGCTGCTCGTGGGAATTTTGTAAATTATTAAATATTACTGGATCAGAAATTGTTTCTTGGAAATTCTATGAAGGGGTAAACACTTCTAATTTCGAATTCTTTTCAAGTAATAACACTGTTTAATACGATCCGTGGTCCTAAATATAAAGTATAGATTATAGTGCAAATTCCATTATAAACTAGATCTTATATTTAAGACCAAAAGTGGTATGTATATATACCAGCCAAATTATACAACCTTCCAAAACATTTGAGTCTATTGCATATAACTCCCTAATCTTTTAGTTTTCATCATGAACACTTTGCCATTAAGTTACGTATTTTTTTCAATTCAGAGTCTGAGACTCCCACGTTACGTAATAAAAAAAAAAACACACAACATCTTACATAGCATCATATACCTTAATAATTCACTAAAACCCCCTAAACCCCTAAATTTCAAGCCAGCTGTATATAACAGCCTCAAATTCCAAAATTTAAATTTGATTGGCTTAAAGTTTTGGTTTAACATTAAACCCCCAGTAATTACTTTCTTTAAAAAATTTAATAGTGAATAGAGCTCGTTGCTTTGACGACATGATTGGATAATCCTATTATCTTCACATATTAAGAAACTACAAAAAAACAAAAAAACAAAATTGACTTGCAATGAAGTAAAATTAGTTGCCGCTTAATGACTGTGGCTAAAAAGTTTCAGTAATGACTTTTATAAGTTCTGACAGTGACATTTGTTGTCGTTTAAAGTCACTTTGGAGATGATACTTTTGCAGCCGAGACTATGGATCCATTATCTTCTATTAATGTGATGTGACAATTTCTATCAAAAAGATAACGGTAACTTAATGGCAGGATATCCATGATAACAAAAAAAAAAAATTAGGGGTTTAACTTTAAACTTTAAAATGTTATGGGATTATATGTAATTGACCCAAAGTTTAGAAGGATTTTTGTATAATTTAGTATGTATATAGTCAGCATTTTCTTTAAAAGGGGAGAAGCAAATCTAACTAGAAAGCTATTATAAATAAGATAATAAGTAATTAATGAGTAATGAAAAGCAGCCAACCCTCCTATCCCATTGACGAATTGCAAAATTTTAACCAGTTGGCTGGTTGATTAAATGATGGATCTATAATTTTATGTTCAATAATAAATATTAGGATATAACCAGAACAAATGTATTTTGTTGGATGATAATAACGAAAGCAACAAAAAAAGAAAAAAAAGAAAACCTCAAACGTTGAAAAGAAGCGGAGAACATACCTGGAATATGTGAAGGGGCATAAAGAATATGAGATTTGAATCTCTCCCACACAATCATCAGATGCCACAACTTGAAGCAGACGATAACGGCTGTAATTCATATGGAATGTGAGATTTGCCAAATATTATTGTTGGGTGCTTTGTAATTATAGGCTGCTAATATAGATCTGATGTACGTACTTAAGCAAATTCTTTAGAAAAGAAAAGAATAGAAATTCTCATATGGATCCTCCTAGAGACGAGAGGGCTATATACTTTTTTAGTCTTAAACGTAATATCTATTTTATAGTATAATTTATATCATAAAATGGATTTGACGTTTAGAACCTAAGGAATATAAAATTAAGAGTTGAAAAATATAAGAACAAGTTGCTGCAATATATCAAGAAACCATATGCGCAAGTCTACATACAAGAAAATAATAAAATCAGATGCAAACAATTTGGTAAGAAATTGAATCTTGTTCCTTGTCTGTTTTAGCCTGTCCAAGGACATGAACCTTAATGAAAGCCTTTTAATATCTTATGGGCAAAAATAGCGCAATTTTTTTATTTTTTTATGATTTTTCAAAGAGTTTATATCTAAATTAAAAAGAAACCACACCAATTTCAGAGTTTTTTTTACAAGAAATTATCAAAATTTAAAATTATATCATTTTTTTGCCCATAAGATATCAAAATAGCATTTATTTTATGTAGAATCCAATGATACAGAGAAACAAGACAAAATATTTCGGAAGTGGGGGAAATAAAGGAGCAGCAAAGGAGGAAACTGAGAAGCGACAACTGACACCCGAAATCCGAGAATGGAATATTGCGAAGGATGTAAAGAGGAGGAACATTAGTAACAGCTGGAATATAAATTAGTAATATATGAACTTAGACACACACATATTGAAACAGTTTTGATCAGAAAACTACAGAATTGAGGCCAATGAAGATTTAATTAAAAAAAAAAGGAACTCAAACGACATGATCAGTAGCAGAGATTTAATTTTGATGGCGTCTGACCTGAAGGCGCTGATGAAGAGGGTAGTGCGTGGTGCTGAAGAAGGCATATTGAGATTTAATTTTGAGAGAATTTGGAACAAAAGAGAAAGGAATATAAGAAATGGAAGTTGCAAAGAAGAGCTGGATGATGAAACGAGAAATGAAAGTATATAATGGCTAATCATTGCCAATTGTTTTTTTGGGGTCAACGAGAATCTCAGATTTATCTAATTGCTGAGAAGACTTGGTACAACCTGGCTTGCAATAAATATTTTTTTTTCTTTTTGGTTTCTGGGGTAGCAATGTGCTTTTTTAGTTTAAATATCCTTATCTTACACTTCAAATACTTGTCTGAAATTCTTCGTTTCTTCAACTGTTTATATTATCATTTTTATGAAAGAATAAAATACTTTAAACACCCTTGTGTCTTAATAAGAAGATATCTCGTCTATTGACTCAAAAAAAAAAAATCTCCTCTAATTTCAAGCCGAAGGGTTTGAAGGAGCAGATCAAGTGATGATTGATGTGGATTTGGGCTCCAATGGCCTCTACCTCTTCAACTCAATTAGAAACAATTACCTCCAAGCCTCTACCAAAAAGCACAGCTATCTCAGCTGAAGTGTCTAGATGTCTTCTGGGCTTTACATGACTTGTTGAACTTAAGGGATAGCTTTTGTTTTGTCTGTCTTTTGTTGCGCTCTATGTTCGTTCTTCTCTCTCATTTGAAGATGTCAAAAATAGAGAGAACACGTTTGTGCTCGCGCGTTTGTGTTTTTTTTATCATTTTTATTGGAAAAATTAATCTTTTGGCCTTTTAAATTTTAACTCACTTATAACTTAGTTCCTTAACTATGTCTTGCTATAACGCAGTCTCTACACTTTTCATTCGCTTAAACCTCAGTCCCTGCAACTTTTCACGTTTAATAATTTAAAAAACTGGGGGGAAGAAAACCATCTGGTTTACTTCACATTACCATCAGCAGCGTCTCTGACTCCTCTACTTCTTCACCGGCGAAGTCCTCAGCTGATGAAGCAAGAATAGAGAGAGAAGCACCAAACGTGAGAGAAGGGCACACGAGAGTCCTCCACGTCTTCTTCAATCAAATAATAGCCAAATAATTTGGCAGGAAAGAATCCAACCACCAAAATTATGACATGATCGGACGTAGAAGTCACGATGAAGGGGTTGAGATGAAGCAAGAATAGAGAGAGAAGCACCAAAAATAAGAGAAGGGCAATCATGTCGTGATGATTGAGAGAGCAAGAGCAAGTATTATATGAATCTTTATTGACTAGCAGCTATGGACCATCTTATTTGTCTTGTCAACATTCTCATTCTAACGCATAGTTTTGACCCTCTTCCAAGCCTCATGCATCATTTTAGAATTTTCATATGGTCAGCAGCCATGTCTATTAGCAACGGAAAGATATAAAGATGGGTGTCAGCTGAGGACTTTGCCGGTGAAGAAGCGGAGGAGGCAGAGACGCTGCTAATGGTAGTGTGAGGTAAGCCAGATGGTTTCTCCTCTCTAATTTTTTATCATATGGTATTAACTAATATTTTTAATGGTATTAAGTAATATTTTTTTGCCACGTAGGACAATTAATTAATGATTTAAAATAATTTAATATATGATAAGAATTAAATTATTAAATGTGAAGAGTTTAAGGACTGAGTTTTAAGCAAGTCAAAATTTCAGGAACTGAGTTATAAGTGCGTTAAAATTTAAAGGACCAGAAGATTAATTCCCCCTGGTTTTTTTTTAAATTTCTCTGAATTTGGAAATGATAGCCGGAGATATATGTGTATATAAAATAGCTGCTTGCAAATTGTTTTTCTTTGGTCTGCGAGAAAGTGGCAAATTAGTGAATTACTTTAGTTCCTTCTCAGTAACGTGCACGTTAATAGTAATGCCAACGGAGTTCACGTGGGTAGACTATATATTCCTTTGATAGATACAGATCAGCACACCTTCGCTTGCAATTTATTATATATATATAGTTGTAAAATCTTATCTTTATATGCTGGAAGGGCTATCTTATTTAATTCCGAATGAACTATTAAAAGTCAGTTTTATCTTGGGAATTTTTTTTCAAATATTTCTCGAACACAGAGTTGATCCTGTTTAAGACGTGATTTTCTAAAAAAATATTTTAAGCTTTTCAAGCATACTTTGAATGAAAACTGTCTAATAGTTAATGTACTTAATTTCTTTTTTTTTTTTTACAAAACCAATAAAATTATCTTAAAACTCCAGCTCTAACATTGTCAAAGGCTACACTTAATTAATAACTCTACACCAAGTTTCATAACCTAGTTCAAATGTTTACTCAATATTCAAGCAGGAAGCTCAATTACATGTACCCGTGATCATTCTCCTTGCTCCTCCTTGTGGAGGTGTTTGCATATAAGAATATAAATTTAAACTTTAAACTAAACACGGTTATGTATATAGAGACAATCGGAAGTATCTGAAATTAATACTTGATATAATAACAGCCAAAGTTTCTTTGGAGTCCCCACCTTCAGATTCCCTCTATGAGCTTACTCTATCCCTTTGAGGAACTTGCTCCTACTTTTGTTTCTCCTTCCAGGTTACCTCCTTTTACTTGAACATCTAGTTTTGCTTCCTCTTTTGTTTTGATAACAATTGTTGAATCCTCTACCCAAGATCAAGCTTGCATGGGAGAATCACCTTTTCTATTACCCCCTTATTGCCTTCACTTTCTTCATCTGTTTCTCCCGATCTCTCTCCCTCTCTTTTGATCCTGCTGGAGTAAAATGCCAGAAATGAGGCGTGGCTGGGGTCAAGAGAAGGAAAATGAATATTTTATTCCCTAGCCCCCACTCACAATAAAGCTTATCTCACAAGCACGCCTTCTCTCTATGCATTTTATCGGGATAACATTTTTAAAAAATTAGCCTCGTCCACGGTCAGCTATATGGCGCGTTTTGGGCTTGATAGTTTGGGCTTCCCACGGCCCAAATGCATTTTTGAACTTTGAAAAGTGAAATTACCATAGTACCCCTGGTTTATTGGTCTGGTCTGCCAAGTAAATCATAAAACTTAATCCGTAAATACTTTATAAGGATTTTATTCCTCAGTTGGCGCCTTTACCTTAGAAAATACTTATCCTAAAAATCTTGGCTTAAAAATTAACCTCTCACTAATTTTGCCTTGAATTTTCTAAGAAAATAATCCCTTTAATTTCATAAATTAGCTTTAAAGTTATCTAAGTCACATTTGGGGAAATAAATATTCTCATGAATTTTCTAAATGCTCAAAATAATATTCTGTAATGTTTTCCCAAAGTTTCTCAGGCATTAAATAATTTTAGTACTTATTTTTCTCTTTAATCTCCTTAAAATTTTACTAGAAAATAGGTTTTTTTTTGGCTAATAAAATAATTTTGATTATTTGAATCTCATAATTTCTTAATAATTTAAGATATTACTGTGGTTCCTGGTCGGATGTTTTATTACGCAGGTCTTCCCACTTGTTTTTACTATAAATTATAGTTTGATTGGATATTAAATGTTTGCCCTTTAATTTGTAGTATTTAGCTTTTCTCTTTTATAATTTACTGTAGGACTGCACAAAAACCGGATTAGCTTGGGGGGTTTACCCTCAATCCCAGGTCTGATCTGAAATTATTTTGGGTTAGAATTACTTGTCCGAAATCCGGGCACGAGATTGATCTACTAGACCATAATTTTTTTCAAAAAATGAAATAGTTGAACCTGTTTCAATCCCAACAGGAGAAAAAGAATTAACAGGGAGATGACAAAAAGAAAATAGAGTGATGAAGATTTAGGGGAACTAATAAATGCAAATGTTTCATCAACACACCCCATAAAACACGGAAAAGCTGACGGAGGGGAATGGAGATGAATCATCCAAATGACCAAGCTTGTTTAAGTTTCAGTGATAGGGGTTCTTGCCGATTTGGTTGGTGTAGCCGTCATACAGATGGATGTCTGTGAGAGAGAAGGGTCGTCACTGAACTCGATCGTTGAGAACGTAGAGAAAGAAGGGGGTAGCGATGGAGGCTAAGAGACAATGAAAGATAATAGGACTGAGAGAAGAACGTTCTAGACGAGGCAAACAAAAGGCAGAGAAACAGGATTTTTTGTTTTTTTAATAAATAGTATGGAGACATACAGGGTTGGACTGGACCAATTGATCATATGTGTCAGTCTGAAACCCAATCCAACCCGATCTAAATGGACCCTGTGGCTTGTATTACTTTGGGCTACATTTTTCGGTGTAAAGACCGGATTGGACTACTTTGAGTTAGACTGGACGCCCTGGGTTATAGGTTCACACATCCCTACTTGGCACGCAGAAGTTCAATTCATCTTGAACAGTATAATTTTTAAAGCTATTTTTAATGATGCCCATTCCCAAATTTCGTGATATGGTTGAAACACGCGCTTTTTTTAACTCAGCAAGGATGGTCACTTTAAATTGCTTCATGGAATTATAATTCTTGTTAATTAATCCCATATGGCATAAAAGAAATATTCCACATCACTATGGTGAGGTATGGCCTCCCCTTACTGATCCAAGAGATATTGGGTTCTTTGTCTTTCACAACCTTGGCTTTCATCAATCATAATTATCAGGTCAAAAGGTTGACTCCCATCTTCATCTACTCACACTGTTTCTCAAGTATCAATTGGTGGATGGTCTATCATCTTATTTGGACAAAAAGAAGAAAGCACTAAAGCAAAACAGAAAGGCAGCATTACAATGCACCGAAACGTATAGATCATTTGCTCAAAACAATTGTGTACAATGATGTTCTGCTTATCGAGTCTGTATCCTATTTTATGGACCATAGCGTAAAAAAAAAAAAAATCTGATATGAATACTGTGGACTACTTGGGCTTAACTTCTTTGTGGGCTTTAGTACTCCCCGCGAGTGGAACTGCGTTGGAAACACAGCGAGACTCAATCTTGGAGTTGCAAGCCGGTAAGTAGGTAAAAGCTTGGGAAGTACGTCAGCAATATGATCTCTGGATGAGACATGAAGAATATGGGGGAGACCAGGGGTAATCCCAATATTTTCATGTTCACTCTTGGGCTTTTGGCATTATTAATTG